CCCCCCCCCCCCCCCAATAACCCATCTTCTCTGTTCTAGGGTTTCTTTTCTTGCTCTGAACTAGTTCATCATTCTATTTGATTTTCTTTTTCTTTAAATCTGCTTAAGCGGTGAGGCAGTTCGGTGAGTTTTGAATATTTTATGTTTTCTTTTCTTTCCCCATCACCGATTTGTCATTTTATTATTGATAAAAGAGGACGGTTCTGTAGTTTGTGACACTTCTGGCTGCTATTGCTTCTACTTTTGCAATATCTGTGTATCAAAGTTGTGGGGGTTTGTTCGATCTCTGTGAGTATTTTGATTTTGGAATGTCAAGAGTGGTTTCTGGAGAAACCCCATTTGAATATGGCTCGGATTCGGCATCAAATCTTTCAAAACGATGCGTTTTTGAGCTACCCTCCTCCTGTAATGACTTCTTCTTCAACCCCTTTTGATGGAATTTACAATAAGGAACCAAACCCACCAGCAGTGCCATCTACAACCTCGTCTGGTACGAGGATAAGTCCAGCAGTTCTGTTTATCATAGTTATTTTGGCTGTTTTGTTTTTCATCTCTGGTTTGCTCCATCTTCTTGTTAGATTCCTTATAAAGCACCCATCTACCTCACCCTCCTCTCAATCCAACAGAAACCCACAACTTTCTCCTTCTGATGCACTTCAGAGACAGCTTCAGCAGCTCTTCCATCTCCATGATTCTGGTTTAGATCAAGCTTTTATAGATGCACTTCCTGTTTTTCAGTATAAAGAAATTGTGGGTCTCAAGGAGCCATTTGATTGTGCTGTTTGTTTGTGTGAGTTTTCTGAGAAGGATCAACTCAGATTACTTCCTATGTGCAGCCATGCCTTTCATGTCAATTGTATAGACACTTGGCTCTTGTCAAATTCAACATGTCCTCTTTGTCGTGGAACCCTCTTTAATCCCGGTTATTCAATCGAAAATCCGATGTATGATTTCGACGATCTAGGAGAAGAAGATGAATGTGGTGGTAATGCAGATTACAGGTTACCTAATTGTCAGAAAACAATGGAAATTCAAGAGGTAGTGAATGAAAAGGGGGTTTTCCCAGTTAGACTAGGAAAATTCAGGAGGATGAATGCTGTAGAAGCTGAAGAGACAACCGAAGTTGGAGAGACCAGCAGTAGTAATTTGGATGCTAGGAGATGTTACTCGATGGGATCGTATCAATATGTCGTTATAGACGCCGACCTCAGAATCGCATTGTCTAAAGCTCGAGGAGAGGGCGATAATAAGCAGCCCTGCAAGGGGACGGATTCAAACAGCATCTCTCCAGTCCAAGCAGACTTGGATGGAAAGAAGCTTAATAGTGTAGCTAAAGGTGAGAGTTACTCTGTTTCGAAGATTTGGCTTTGGTCTAAAAAGGGGAAGTACTCAAGCTCTACCGAACCGTCGCAGCCGATAGGTATGAGTTCTTCTCTAAATACAGACTTGCCATGGTTGAGACAAACACAAGAGGCATCATAAAAATGGCCTCAAAACTGTTGTCCTCATTTTTTGAGCTGAAAGTAATCCTTACCAATGTTTGTTGTATCTATTTAGATTCTTATCTCTGAAATTCTGCTGATGCTAACTTGTGAGCTATTGATTATTATACAAAAGCGTTAGTATCCATAATCCAACAGTGTCCTTCCGAACTGTTTTTCGAATCTCGGACGATAAGATTATAGGATTAGTAGAATAGGAAGATCAATGAACATGATTAGAAGAAAGTCGGACGAACTGATATGAACTCTGCTAGCCGTTTCTTCGTACGTTTCTTGGTACAATTCGTTCTCAAATCTATTTGTCGATTTTACTACGAACACATCTCATCATCACTGAATCACTTTTGTGTTAAAATCTTTGAAAGCAGAGGAGGAGGAGAAGGCTCCAAAAGCGGTGTGTGTAGAGCATTATCATCTGTGTAAGATGTGGGAAGGAGTGGACCATGTCCTCTTGCTTTTTGTTCATAGCTTGTGAGCCACTTTCCCTTTCTGTTTTTCTGTCTGTTGCTTGTTTTGTGTTGATTGGAACAAGCTTTTCTTTTGTGACCCTTCCAGCTTGCGCTTGGGATGGTGAAATTACATTTTTACCCTTTATATTTAGTTTGGATGTTGTAAAAGAGAATCAATTTGGAAGGGTTGAAATTGGAAAGTTGAAGTAGAGATGCACACCGAAGAGGATGCCTTCTCTGTCAGTTCTTTAGAATTTTTTTCTATTTATTATTCTTTTAAAAAATAGGAATTAAGAATTTTATTTTTCAATTAAATTGTTAATTCTCTCATGTTATTAAAAATTATTCGTTGATAAAAATATTTTACTTACCTTAATAAATAATATATAAAATTACAAGAACAAAATTTGATATTATAATTTTTAAATCAAAGAAAACCTTCCAATTTTTTTTTTTTTTTTGAATGATATAAATAAATTAAAATAATTAGTACCCAAAAAATAATATACAAGTAAAAAAAATGAAATTTGTAAATGAAGCTTTAAAAGTCTCGGGGTGCAGATAGGGCGAGAGGGATGAGAAATATAATTCTCGTCCTCGACTCCGTTATAGATCTAAATAAACATAAACCTATTTAATTTGTATTTTAATCTATATACATATCATTAGCTGTTTTTAAGGTGCCAACTACCAACAGATGGAATAATTGTGTTCAGTCTGCAGCAATAATTAAAAATTGGGCTGCTTCATGTTACTTTATTTTCTAGTTAAGTTAAAATATTAATATGTTTCTTTTCTCAGTTCTGAAAGTTGGGGATTTGAATTCAAACATATAAAACAAGAATGGTGCTGTGTCTGCAAATCTGAGAAGATGATTGTTCAAGACCACCGTCCCATGCTTCACTTTATCAATTTCAACACATCTCCCACAAGATGCAAGGAACCAGTTACAAGAACCTGAAAATTAGAAACCTCGTAAACTTCCTTATTACTCGATCATGCATCTAAGCTCGTTGCTAGAGAAGGGTCCGTTTCGGATGACTTTCCAAGTGTTCGTGGAATGGTTTTTAAGTACTTACAAAGTCGTTCTAAACATGTATGAAATTTTCGATCTAGTGTAATATATCAACCTCTTAGAAATTGATATCAAACGAGAACAAATGGAACAATTACCTGAAGTCGAATGGACCTGTTCTGCTGCAAGACACTGTCCCGGAGCCATTTAATAGCCATTGGGAGAGAAGAAAACACTGTGCTATTCTCACAACTCTTACCAACCACTTCTGCTTTAGAATCACTTCCTGATATGTCAAAGTATATAAGAAAGGATCCAACATGAAAAAAAAACCGACAATAAACCGACAATACCTTTGTCTCGTTGTATCGTGTTTTGCCATACCCTTCGAACATGAAACTGCCAAGACAGGTCGACTTGCCCATTTGCTTCTGCTAAGCTATGGCTTCCAACCTTGTTGAAGACTGATGTATTTGGAACAAAGAGGGCTTTCTTGAAGTGGACACCTGAGTTAAATAAGCAGAATTACTATGTATGAACCCCTTAAGAACACCAGACTTTTCAGTTCCAACAGTTTGATAAATATATGAGATCCCTCGTAGATGGAAGAGAAGAACGAAACATTTCTTATAAACATATGGAAACTTCTCCCTAACAGACACGTCTTAAACCTCAAGGGAAAACCAAAAAGGACAATAATTCGTAATAGACCTAAAATGCATCTGAACACCCTTATAAGCGATGCTTCGTTTCCCTCTCCAACCGATGTGGGATGTCACAATCCACCCCCTTTGGGGCTAGCGTCCTCACTGACATACCATCCGGTGTCTTGCTCAAATACCATTTGTAACCACTCAAGCCAACTGCTAGCAAATATTATCCTCTTTGGGCTTTCCTTTTTGAGCTTCCTCTCAAGGTTTTAAGACGTGTATGCTAGGGAGAGGTTACACCCTTATAAGGAATGTTTTGTTCCCCTCTCCAACCGATGTGGGATTTCACAATCCACTTCCTTGGGGGCCAGCATCCTCGGTGACATACCGCCCGGTATCTGGCTCTGATACCATTTGTAACAGCCCAAGCCCACGGCTAACAAATATTGTTCTCTTTGGGCTTCCCCGCAAGGTTTTAAATGCGTTCGCTAGGGAGAAGTTTCCACACCCTTATAAAGAAGGCTTCGTTTCCCTCTTCAATTGATGTGGGATCTCACAAATACATACCATTATTTGCGCACGTTTTGAACAGAGGTGGGAGAAGCAGCTGCGGATCTCGTGCTGTCATACAATTGAACAGTAGGACCTATAGTATCCAACAATACTAAGTTAAACGGTAGAACTAAAAAGGAGTGCTAAAACTAGCTGTTAAAGAGGTTGAACTTGGAGAAGTGGAACAGAAGTTGATATCTACCTGCACAGATTTCTTCCTTGCTTCATCATTGTAAGATGCACTCTTATCCTCCGACTGATGATTTAACATCCCTCGCTGGTTATGTCTTATTGCAGCAGAAAACCATCTAGCACAAACCTCCATGCTCTCAGGGCTATGAGCTCCATCCAAATAAAAAACAAGACCTTCCGGGGATTCAATACTAATATATCTATCAGCAACAATCTGTGCTCGTCCATCAAAGCTGGCACTGGTAAGCCCTTCTATGAACTGCTCAGGCAACGACCTCTGATAAAAAGAATCAGAAAACACGACATAACGTTAAGGAAGACCGACGACATAGACGACAAATCTCATGTATAGAACTTACACTCTGTTCCATATATGACAGCTTGGAATGGCCAGCCCTGTGTAGCCAAGTGGAGGATAAGGCAATAGCAAGACCAGCATTTAGATACTGATGCTCGCCTTCAAGCCCGAGTTTACAACCGTGTAGAAGCTCCGGATCCAATGATGGCACGACCGTAAGTTGTACCTGGGACGTGCAAATATAAGGCAATGTGAACAACGCATAGTCATGAAGTAGAAAATGGAAGAGCTTTGCACATACATCCAATTGAGAAGCCTTATCTCTAAGCACATGCATGGCTTCATCAGGTTGAAACACAGTAAAAGCTGGCGCCCCACGCTGCACCAAAGTGAAAGGACAACAACAAACATTAAACTCAAATATAACGGCCCAAGCTCAAGCCCACTGCTAGCAGATATTATCCTCTTTGGACTTTTCCTTTCGGGCTTTCCCTCCAAGCTTTAAAATGCGTCGGATAGAGAAAGGTTTCCACACCCTTATAAAGGGTGTTTCGTTCTCCTCCCCAACCAATATGGGATATTACAACTCATTATTCCTAGACGCCTATTCTTTGATGAAATCGTTTGATACAAACCTTAAAGATGCCAGCTTTCTCTGAAGCTATCTCAGCAAGTGTATTTCCTATTTAGACAGGAAGAAGAAAGCAGCAATGTAAACGAACATCATGACAATCATTTGAATTGGTGAAGGTTAAGAGAAGGCTAACCAAGAATTTCCATGTGGTCATAACCCAGAGAAGCTATACCACACACAAGGGGTTCCTGGACCTGAACCATTAGAATCTATGAAATGGCTACACCTTGATGAAGAACAGATTAGTTTAAGGCAAAAGAAAATGAGAATACCACATTGGTAGCATCAAAAGTTCCACCTAAACCAACTTCCAAGATAGCTACATCTACCTGCTCATCCGAAAAGATTTTGAATGCAAGTAATGCAAGGAAGCGAAACAAGTGAGGCATTGGTATGTCCTTACTAGTTTTTTCCTGCACAAAATCAAATTGTATAGAATCAGAAAAGGCTAGGGAAGAATCCACCAAGGCCCTCTTGTGTAACTACTAAGTTTCGATCTCCATTCAGATGCCTCTAGTTCGTTTTATAGCGTTGAAACTTCAACTTACTATAAGATAATAAATCAGATTGACAAGTAAAATACCTTTAGCTTATTATAACACCACCAGAAATAGGTTAAAAACTTCTCTTCACTAATATTGACGCTGCAACAACAAATTAGAGAAAGTATTAGTATTAATGACTTGTAACAGCCCAAGCCTACTACTACCAAATATTGTTCGTTTTGGCTCGTTACATATCTTCGTCAGCCTCACGATTTTAAAATGTGTCTACTAGGGAGAGGTTTCCACACCCTTATAAGAAATGTTTCGTTCTGCTCTCCAACCGATGTGGGATCTCACAATCCATCCCCTTGGGAGTCCAACGTCCTCGTTGGCACACTGTCCAGAACCTGGCTCTGATACCATTTGTAACAGTTTAAGCCCACCACTAGCAAATATTGTCCGCTTTGGCTCATTACGTATTGCTGTCAACCTTACGATTTTAAAACATGTCTACTAGAGAGAGGTTTCCACACCCTTATAAGGAATGCTTTCTTCCTCCCCAACCAATATGGGATCTCACAATCCACCCCCCTTGGAGGCCCAACACCCTCGTTGGCACATTGATCGGAACTTGGCTCTAATACCATTTGTAACAGTTCAATCCCACCACCAGCAAATAATGTCCGTTTTGGCCTGTTACGTATCGTCATCAGCCTCATGGTTTTAAAACGCATCTACTAGGGAGAGGTTTCCACACCCTTATAAGGAATGCTTCGTTTCTCTCTCCAACCGATGTGACATGACTAAAATCATATAATCAAGAAGGTATTCAAGAGTCTGCAACTCCAAAATGGAAAAAGAGCTTAAACATTGCATATAAGAGCACTTGGTACATAAATATAATGAGCTAATGTGATGCAGTTGTTGCAGCTCTCAAATGAAGCTTTTTCAGACTTTAGTGTGTAAGATAGTTACCCATCCAAACGAAATCTTTCTCGGATATCAATAAGGTGAGGAGAAGTGAAAAGGCCAGTGTGGAAGCCACAGCTACGCAATATGGATTCAGTAAACGTGCACGTTGATCCCTAAGCAATTCCCAATATAAATAAAAACATCATTTTCTAGCTATCTCAATGAAACATTTCTAAGCAAACTTGAGGACAAGGTACCTTGCCTTTGGTGCCAGCCACATGAATGACCTTCATTCGCCGCATGGGCTCCTCTAAATCAAGCATCTATCATATTGACTCAACTTAATGATCATCATCCCAAGTACATTGACAATAACAAAGTCTCAAGTTTAGCTCAAGTAATACCTTCACATACTCAAACATCAACTCGAATCGGTCCCCAGATTTATCACAGCGTCTTCGGTTGACAATCAACGACGATAGTACACTCAATGCCTCTTCATACGCCGTCCGCGAGTGCATCAATGTGTCATTACCTTCAAAAGCATCAATCAAATCCAAAAACATGAAGAGTTTATATGACAGAAAGGATTAACACGTTCTTTTTAAACTTGAATGTGTCTATACCTTCTAACATGGTTATTAATTGGCCCCCAAGTTTTCTAATATCGTATGGATTCAGTGTAGCTCAAATGCACATCCACAATCCCCAAAAATTCATTGAACTGAGCATCAGGGAGCACAATTACAAATGCAGCAGAGTAATATCATAAAACACAATTATAAATTATATTACCATGAACAGAGATAAATGGGAAAAGGGTCATCGTCTTTTCATCAATCCATTCCTCTCGATAGCCAGACGGGCGCTAATACGCCGGAGAAACTGAGGGGAGCGACCGGGGGCGGCTAAGGAAAAGAGAAGGGGAGAGTGATTGGGGGTGAAGTGAAGAAGTGTTTGGACCATAGAAACAGAGGATAAAGGAATCGTGTTGGCGGGACACGGACACGGACTCGGACTCGGGGTTGCGAATGTGAATTGGTTGGTTTAAATAACGATAACAATACAGAGGTTTGGGTCAATGTCGTTGGAAGGTCCCTACTCCGGAAATTCCTCACCTGGCGACGGCGTCTGATATGGCGAACTTCCATGTTGCCTCCCTCCATCGTCTGATCTGACTGACTGGCTGACAGGTCCTAAATTCGGTTTGTTTGGTGGTTTGGTTTTTTCTTGGTTCGGTTCTTTATCCAAACCGGCCGCTTTTGTCTTTTTTTTTCCTTCTTCCGTTACTTTTAACATTTTAAATTTAGTCGTAAGGGTCTAGTTGGAATGATTTTCTAATACTTTAAAATTACATTTTTGCACTTAAAATATTTCTTTTTTTTACGTATTTATAAAGTCATTTTAATTGGTACCTAATTTAATATTTTTTTGTTTGGTGCGATAAAATTAGATAGGTTTTTAAGGAGTCGTGTCACTCAATTATATTTGATTTTTCATATATTTTTAATTAAATTATAAGTTCTTGTTTGTATCTAATAGATTCCTAAACTTTTAAAAAAAATTAATAGATTCTCGAACTTTCAATTCCGTGTATAACATGTAGTACAAAAATATCTTTAAACTTTTATTTGTGTATATAAGTATAGGACATATTCAACGTTTTTTTAAATGAATAAGTCTGTTCCATGTAAATTTGAATTTTGTAATTAATAGGAAATTAAGTATTTAAATTTTTAAAATTGAATCATTAAAAAAAAAACTTATGAAAATAAAGAAAGATTTTAAAAAATTATTAAATTTAAAATCTAAATTATAGGTTTAAATTTCATTTTCGCCCCTTTTAATTTGAATTAAACCTTTAAAATTTGTATTTTAGTCATACTTTTCTGCCCTAGATCCATTTTGCCTAATATATGTCTCTAACTTATTTGGCTTGAAATCATGCTCGTATTAAAATGATTGTATACCTACCATTAAAACAAAAGTTAAGATCAGTATAGTTATTAAACGAGATCTAAATTAAATAATTCTTAAAAAAATTAGGAAATCAATGAGCATTTGTATGCATTATTATTGCATATTTCATTGTGAAGACCATCTTTGAGCTTCGTTTTCAAGTTTGGCCTACAAATTTAAGTCTTTGTTCTTATTATTGAAGAAATTATTTATAACTTTTGAATATTATCTCATATCCTTGGGCCTAGTCCCTATAGCTTGCATCACTTTATTCATAAAAGCTTTAAAATGCATCATTTTTAATACCTTTTTGCTTTTCCACTTTCATATTGGAACCTCCATCAAACCTTTTTTACATGTCTTGCTTCTAATTATTAATAGCACTGAAAATCACGAGGCTGTAACCGTCTAATTCCATCACTGTTAGCAAATATTGTTCGTTTTAATCTATTACATATCGTCGCCAGCCTCATAGTTTTAAAATGCATCTATTAAAGAGAGGTTTCCATACTTTTATAGGAATGTTTCGTTCTCCTCTCCAACCGATGTGGGATCTCACAATCCACCCTCCTTGGGGACCCAACGAGGTCGCTGGCACACCGCTAGCAAATATTGTCCACTTTGGCCCATTACGTATCGTCATCAACCTCACAGTTTTGAAACGCGTCTACTAAGGAGAGGTTTCTACACCCTTATAAGGAATGTTTCGTTCTCCTCTCAAACCGATGTGGGATCTCAATCTATCAATGATAGCTATCACATTTAGTTAATATAACAGTATTCACACAGCATTAACAAGCATAAGTATCTTTGAATTCAACCTGAGGATGTGCATACAACATATATCATTATGCATGAACTCTATCAAGACTAGCAGCATTCCTCCCCACAACAACATGGTTTGGACTTTGGCACAAACAAACAAAGCATATCCTGACTTCTGAGTCTACCCCCCACATATTCCCCAATTTACTAACTGAAAGTATGATATATGTTCTATTTCTTGTCAATAAGAGTTGGGGTTACCAGTATAGTTGTATCGAGCTCGAATGTTGTGATGGTTATATCTCGGATCTCCATAATCAACAGCCTTGATGACCATTGCTTCACGACGTCCATCTTGCTCTTGAACTGCACCGAACACAATTTCGCTTGTCTCACAACTCTTCTCATAGTAGGTTGTTGGGCCAGCTGAATATTGTCGATTGTAATTATGCTGCTGCTGTTGATGATGATGTTGTTGTATATGCTGCTGCTGTTGGTGATGATGTTGTATATGCTGCTGTTGATGATTATGCTGTATCTGCTGCTGTTTTTGTTGTTGATGGAATTCACTATCCCACCCATTAAAGTAGCTCCTGTTTGGCTTGAACTGGTGTGATCGATCGAGGTCTTGTGTCATAAATGGATATGTTTTTTTTATTGTCGGAGTTTTCGCTTCGATGGATGGTGGCTCGTCTTCATCTGGAATCATAAAGCTTTCTTGCAAGGGCCAAGCATTTGGATGTCTGTTAACTGGTTGAAACTGCTGATGGATCTGGTTATTGAGAGGCTTCCTTCGAAACCCTGACAACAATCCCCCGAAGATATCGGCCACAGATGAACCGCTGTTGACAAATAGCCTCCCAAGCGAACCGAAGAAGCCTTCCTCCAGTTTCTCTGGTTCATCTTCATTTGGAATCAAGGAAGGCCTCACTGACTTCAGAGGAGGTCTTTGGTATGGGGCAACTGGTGTAGCTTTCATCATTTGATGACTTCTTATGTCCTGATCCTACCACCCAAAAAAGAAAAAGAAGAATAAGTTTTGGATGGAGTCGGTGTACCAACAGAGATGCTAGGTCCTGAAGGGGGTGGATTGGGGGAGGGGGTCCCACATCGATGGGAGAAGGGAACGAGTGCCAACAAGGACGCTGGGCCCTGAAGGGAGTAGATTGTGAGATCCCACATCGGTTAGGGAGGAGAACGAAACATTCTTTATAAGGGTGCGGACTTAAACCGTTACAATCGAGATGTTCAAACAACATAATTATGTATTTGAAACAAAGAAAAATATATGAAGTTTGTGAAAGAGCTACCTTCTGTGGAGAAGAAAACATAGCTTGCACTCTACGTTGGAGCAACGCAAGCAGGTAACCAAATAAGCCGGCAGCAACCAGCAATACAACCCCTGCAGATAAGAACAAATGGAAGAGATGAAGGGACTATTAGCTAAGAATGAGTACTGAAAATGGCAGGAATGATAGGGTTTCGTTGTACCCAAGTTGAGACTATCAGCATATTGGGTATTGCAATCATCGTAGTTGAGTTCAATCTCTCGAATTGCACTGTTTCCTCTGTCTATAACCAAAAGAGAGCAGCTACTTCCCACATAAACGACATCAAAATCATTTGAGAACTTTGCATCTTCACTTGGACCATCAATATGACCATTCCCTTGGTTCCATCTTCCACCAGCAATAGTTGTAACCCCTGCAGGTAATAATGATTAGCTCACATACAACAGCTTTTACCTTAAAGATAATCGATACAGATAAAAGTTCCATGTGCCTAGTGTAACAACTCAAGCCCACTGCTAACAAATATTGTTTAGTTTGTCCCGTTACGTGTTGCCATCAGACTCACGGTTTTAAAACGTGTCTTCTAGGGAGAGGTATCCACACCCTTATAAGAAATGTTTCGTTCCCCTCTCCAACCGATATGAGATCTCACAATCCACTCCCCTTGGGGGGCCAATGTCCTCGCTGGCACACCACCCGGTGTCTAACTCTGATATCATTTGTAATAGCCCAAGCCCACTGTTCCACTGTTAGCAGATATTGTCTACTTTGTCTCATTACGTACGTCGTCAGACTCACAGTTTTAAAATGCGTCTAGTAGGGAGAGGTTTCCACACCCTTATAAAGAATGTTTTGTTCCCCTCTCCAACCGATGTGGGATCTCACAATCCACCCCCCTTGAGGGCCTAGCATCCTCACTGGCACATCGCCCAGCGTCTAGCTCTGATATCATTTGTAACAGCTCAAGCCCACCGCTAACAGATATTGTTCGCTTTGTCCCGTTACGTATCGCCGTCAAACTCATGGTTTTAAAACGCATCTAGTAGGAAGAGGTTTCCACACCCTTGTAAGGAATGCTTCGTTCCCCTCTCCAACCGATGTGGGATGTCACATATACAGTCTTGGACATTCTAAGCATTAATATTCAATAAGCATAGACGTGCTGAATTTTGAGCAGAATATTACAAGGAAAGGATCCAGCCACAAAAATAGAATTCGATATCAAATTTCGAGTGCTTGTAGAGGGAATTTCTAAACTATTTGTCGAAATACCTGTGTCACTAATCTTTCTGATAGCCATATTCATAGTATCAGCAATGTACACATTTCCTCTTGCATCCAAAGTAAATCCTTTTGGATGGTTCATTCTTGCCTCTCTTGGATGACCATCGACATGTCCCGAGTATCCTTCGGCCGATCCCGAAACCAGCTTAGGCCTGCTAACTACAAATGGCTCCAATCTTTAGATACACAAATTTTCACAACAGAAGTACATATTATTAAGTTCAAGAGATTTGGTGCAGAAATACAACAATGAAAGAAATAAAGGCCCAAAACTGCTACCATCTGAGAAGCCCCAGCTTTGAAATGGCAAGAACAGATAGAACTAACAAAAGTACATTGCTCTATCAAGAAAAATGCATGAAAATGTAATGTTAACCCATAAAGTTGCTTACATCGAGACAATGGCATAGAGATCTTATAGATGTTGCTGTTTTCAGCATCTAAGATCAAAAGCTCCCCACTAGGCGATACCTCAACCGAATATGGATCAATTCCCAGCTTACTGCCATCAAACACCGTCTCAACAGTATACCCACTCTCAAATTTCATCATCGAACGGCTGGAAACGGCTGAGAAGAACAAGCAGAAAACCCAGTTAAGAAATTACAGCAAAAATGGAAGAATGCAAGGCAGCAAAGAAAGATCCAAACCAGTTTTGGCGCTGGATTTCATCGACCATAACCTCTTCACAAGAGAAGAAACCACATTAGAAAGAACCCCTCGAACAATTTCTGCTCAAAAAGTGGAAATGCCGTAAGCTGAGTGAATGAAGCACATAGACACCATTTAAAACAGGGAAAATGCAAAAATCATAAGATTAACAACATGGGTCCTTCTCATTCTTAATCCTTTTCATCATCATCATCATCGTTATCTGATAACTTACTTGCTGCAGGAGGCGTAGCTGAAGCGGAAGAAACCCCACCAAAAAGAAGAACAAAAACGAGAGCGAAACCGACCCAAATCCTGTCCATTGCCGAAATGAGGAAAATTGAGGAGCAAAACCCTCAAAAACTTAAGGGATTGAAGCTACGCATTTTGAGGAGCCACTCAAGTACAGACCCAAAAATAAAGTTGATCGCTTTTCCCCTCTACGTATGAATTAAGTGGTACCCTTTTCTCAGAAGGAATGACAGTGAAAGAAACAAAGAAGGTTTAGTGGTTTTAGAAGACGCAATAGACGAGAGAGAGCTGTCAAAAGAGTAAGAAAAAGTAAAGTAAAGCCAAAACCAATGCCGAAAGAGGGCTGGAGGCTGTGTAATGAGGCCACCCACCAGGGCAATGGGATGCTCCGGTAGCAGTGACAAAGATACCAATTTTATTCCCTGGTTTTAGTGTAAACTCATCCAAATAACTTCATTTATCATAAGTTCAAATGTTTTTTGCTTAATTAATGATTAGCAACGTTAACCATTGTTGCCATTGTTGGCCAAATTTGATTTGCCATTTTAATGGGAAATGTTAATGATTTGTAACAAATAAGAAATGGTATGAATTTACCATTCTAGCCAAAGCAAAAAGAGGGTAGAAAACTGCATAAAGAGAGCTTATGGCGGTAAGAGGGAATCACATTCCCTATGCTTTTGTCCCAAAGCTTCAAAACCAAGTTTGTGTAAACATCAAAGGTTCAATTGAGTAGTCATTGAAGCTTTAATGAACTCTTTATTGCCAGAAACTTTTCAAGTTTAGGAAGATTCAACATCTATTTCATGGGATCCAATGAAAAACCCGACCCAATTGATCCAAATTGTATAGGGTATGTGATAAAAAGTTATGCTCGGTTGATGCAATAACTCAAGCCCTCATATAGTAGGTATTGTTCGTTTTGGCCTGTTATGTATCAGTTGAAGAGGGAAACGAAATATTGTTTGTAGTGTGAAAACCTCTTCCTAGTAGACGACTTTTAAAATCGTGAGGCTGATGGTGATAGGCAACGGGTCAAAACAAACAATAGCTGCTAGTGGTGAGTTTAAGCGGTATGCTAACGAGGACGCTGGGCCCCAAGGACAGTGAATTGTGAGATCCCACATCGGTTGGAGAGTGCAACAAAGCATTCCTTGTAAGGGTATTAAAACTTCTCTCTAGTAGACACGTTTTAATATGTTGAGAAGAAACCTGAAAAGAAAATCCCAAAAAAGACAATATGTGCTACGAGTAGACTTGGACGAGTTCAAATAAGTTAAAAATCAATTTTGGTTCGTGCAAAAGGTGACAGTTTAGTTCATAAACTTTGGATTTAATTAAATTGCAAAGGGCACAAATTAGTGAATACATTGGAAATTGTTTAAACGTAATAAACCATTCCAACCTCAAGAGTAGAAGCAAAAGGAATGCTCAAAGCATAAGATGGCCCTCTTGAATTTTTCCTCAACAAATCATATCCATAATTAATCACAACCTTCTTCATCCACCCTGATCCCTTCTTTGCCTTCACATATGAATGCCCCATTATGAATGCCATTCCTGCCTCCCTTGCCTCCATCAACTCTTCCAACTCTCCTCTCGTGTCGATATCCATTTTCGGACTCTCGGGGACAACGAATCGTACTCTTTTCCTCATCGTCTCCGACTTTCGTATCTCTGAAGTGCCCACAATCGGTGAAGAGTATGCTTCGTTTTCACACATTTGTACACCGTCTAGTTGAGTTGATGAAGTTCCAATCACTGTCATTCTTTCATTGTCGTCCAAGTCTTCGTGTCTAAAACCATTGCATTCTGTTCCCTCCGACCTTATGAATTCTGCAATGCTGCAGGAAAGATCTCTCTCGAACTCCAAGTCGTCCTTGTGCATGTCACGGTAGCCATACCGTGCGATGCAACGGTAAATTCGATGCTCCTTTGGCCCAACTCGACCAACTAGAAATCTTTCCTCAGGCCTCACATGAGGCACTGTGACAGATTTGATGCATAGGAAGACTAGAATTTGGTGAAAGGCTGGAAGGTTGGTGACAAAATGAGAGAAAATGGCAGGGATCCCGGAAACAAGTTCGGTATGTACAAGGCCGATCCCTCGGACCCGAACTATCCCGATCTTGGGCCCTATACTGAGGAGCCAATTTATAGGGACTTTGTTTTCAACATCAGCCTCATATTTCTTGACAGTGCCATAGTGCCAAACATACATAACCACAAGGAAGGTCAGTGAAAGAGCAATAGCAACCCAAGCTCCTTCAAGAAACTTCATAAGAGATGCAGAGAAGTAGAGAGCTTCTATGGAGCCAAAGAAGAACAAGAAGGCCATGGCCAGAAACACACTTTTACGCCAACATAATACAACGACAAGTGACATTAGACACGTCGAGACGAGCATCACGGTTATAACTGCCAACCCTGTATGATAAACAAATAGATAGCGTGTGTCGTTAAGTTCGAGAGACAGATAAAAAGTATAAGCAGAAACCAAATGCCTGATCAACAAGTACCTGCTGCATTTCCGAGTCGTTTCGTGTCTCTAAACCCAATGGTAACAGCCAAACATAATATCATTAGTATCCAGTTGATTAAGGGAATGTAAATCTGGCCATGTATTTTCGAAGACGTATGAATGATCTTCACCCTCGGAAAACAACCCAATGCAGAACACTGTTTGATGATCGAAAACGTGCCGGTGATGATCGCTTGACTACCCACCACTGCTGCAAGTATTGCTATGGCAAGAACTGGCCATCTTACCTTCTCTGCAACATAAGATAGCCCGCACTTTACATTACTTCACTTGCAGATATTGTCCTCTTTGGACTTCTCCGTGTCTGCTAGGGAGAGGTTTCCACACCCTTATAAAGAATGTTTCGTTCTCCTCTCCAACCGACGTGGGATCTCACAAATTGACTCTCGAAAAGAGAAAATTATTGTTACAACCAACGTACCAGGAACAGAAACATAGAATCCAATCCGATGGTCGTTGTCGAGATCATGATGCTGAGAAAGATAAGCAGCTTGTCCCATATACGCAAGAACTAAGGACGGATAAACCACAAGAGTGAAAGCAAGCTGCAGCATTAATGTTAAACATTGTTTTTACATTCAGATTGCATTCGGTAAACGTCGTGCTTATGACCCGAAAAACTTTAGAGGATTGTTTTGCTTCAGATTAGTACCTGGATAGAAAACTGTGAGAAGTGACCAAGATCAGCAAACATAGCTTCTGAGCCTAAAAACCAGAACAGGGCATATCAGAAACAAATAAAAAAACACATGGAAGGAAACGATTGCAGTCAGGATCTAACGTCGTTGCACCTGTTACACACAAGAGGATCCCGCCCAACGCCATCCAGCCTTGCTTTCTAGTTTTTTTCAAGAACTTAAACATGTAGTATGGAGAGAGTGCTTTGTAAACCAGGGGATTCCAATAGAAGATATTGTACAAACCAATGGCACTGATGCATAGAAGCCATACAATTACAACAGGAGCGAACAGGAACCCGACCTGATGCGTACCGTAATGTTGCAATGCAAATAAGAACACTAATATGCCACATGCTAGAGGAACTTCAATATCTGCAAGAGAAATATAAAATTCTTACAAAAACACGAGTATAACAACCTAAGCCCACCACTAGCAAATATTGTCCTCTTTAAGCTTTCCCTTCTGGGCTTCCTCTCAAGGTTGTAAAGCGTGTCTGCTAGGGAGAGGTTTCTATACCCTTATAAAGAATGCTTAGTTCCCCTCTTCATTCGATGTGGGACCTCACAATCCACCCCTCTTTGGGGCTCAGCATTCTCGATGGCATTACCGCCCAGTGTCAGGTTCTGATACCATTTGTAACAACTCAAGCCCACCACTGGCAGATATTGTCCTCTTTGAGCTTTCCCTTTTGAGCTTTCGCTCAACGTTTTAAAACGCATCTACTAGGGAGAGGTTTCCACACCCTTATAAAGAATGCTTAGTTCTCCTCTTCATTCGATGTGGGATCTCACAATCCACCCCTCTTTGGGGCTCAACATTCTTGCTGGCATACCACCCAGTGTCTACCCCTGATACCATTTGTAACAACTCAAGCCCACGACTAGTGGATATTGTCCTCTTTGAGCTTTCCCTTCTGGGCTTCCGCTCAACATTTTAAAACGCGTCTGCTAGGGAAAGGTTTCCACACCCTTATAAAGAATGTTTAGTTCCCCTCTCCAATCGATGTGGGATCTCACAATCCACCCCTTTTTGGAGCTCAGCATCCTCGCTGACATACCATTCGATGTCTGGCTCTGATATCTGATACTATTTTTGGCTCTGATACCTGATACTATTTGTAACAGCTCAAGCCCACCACTAACCGATATTGTTAGAACGAGAGAATAACATCATAAGGTAAAGAGATGTTCCTTAGAGAAACTTACATTGGTGATGTTCCTTAGCCATGGATAACTCAAGACCAGACACAGCTGAAAAGACTGCAACTCAAGTAGTGATTATCAGAACATCCTTAAACATTCTTAAATCCCAAAAAAGAACAATAAGAACAGCCACCTGAAATTGCTGGAGAGAGTACTCCATCTCCAATAACCATGCAAGTCCCAATCAAGGCAAGAACAAGCAACACTCTTTGCAAAACTTTACATTTCTCCAAAGTTGATTTCAGACAAGAACTAAAACTAAAATTAGCAGTGGTTTGAGTTTCAGGCCTGTCTGTTGTATATGCAGAAAGCTCCTCATCCGCTAGTTGATGATTTGGGAGGGAGCTCAACCGGGCATGGCGGCAGAGCAGAGAATACAGAGCAAAAGTTCCCCCTTCGCCATTATCATCAGCTCGAAGAACTATGAACACATATTTCAGTAGTGGAATGAGTGTCAAAGTCCAAAACACAAAGCAAAGAACCCCATAAACCTCCTCATTCGTCTCAGAGTTCTGAATGTTCTCTGCAAAAGCACTTTTATACACATACAGAGGAGAAGTGCTCAAATCCCCATAAACAACCCCCAAGCTTTGATAAGCTAAAGTGAAGATTGCCCTCCATGAATCTCTCTGTAACAAACAAAAAAAAACCTAAAATTATCAGTCTTTTAGAGACCCATCAGCTGAAATTACAAACATAATTACCTTTTCAGGATGACCCCAGAACAAGCTCGGATCCATTGACCTTAATTCAGAACAAAAAACGAACGAACTTGAAGGAAAGGAACCCTTTTGCTCAGTTGCATGGAGGAACACTGCAGAGAAAATGCACGCAAAGCTGAATGATCTTTGCAATGAAAGTTCGAAAGCAATGCTTCTTTACATAAACGGCGGTTTTCTTTGTCATTAATTCTTGAGCTTGTTCTATACGCTCATTATGGTAACAACATCTACGTTTTTATATCCTTATAAAGAGGAGTAGTTCTCCTATTTGACTAACCTGTGATCTCAAAACCTACTCTTTTTAAGGGTCCAACGTTTTTGCTGGCATACTGTCTAGTATCTGATTATGATACTATCATAGCATATTGCCGTAAGTCTTATGTTTTTAAAACGAATATGTTAAGAGAGGTTTTTACACTCTTATAAATAATATTTTGTTCTCTCTCCGACTAATGGAGATCTCATATTTAGACTTAATTTAAGCTTATCTGGTCTTACGAGTAAAACGTGCTCCTTTGTGTAATACCACATTGTCAGCTGTAAAACAGTGTCATGTTCTTTGTTTCTTGTCTCTTTGTTTTTTATTTCCTTTGAGCTTCTTGTTTCTTTCAAAATTAGGATAGAAATACATTGGATAATCCTTTCTATAATTTAGGTTTTTATTATTTTATTACAAAATTAAAAGAAATTCAAAATAAAGTGAATTTCGTCGTTTTTAATCGATATGTGAAGTTGTTAAAACATTATCCAAACAAAAATAAATAAAACTATTATCAGGAAGAAAAAAACTACAAGTGATTATGAATATAATTAGGTTTATGTCTCTTTCAAACGTATCGGAAAAAAGTCAACGGTCGGTTGGTTGACCATTTAAGAGAAAAGGAGATCGAACAGCAAAATTCAATAATTTTAAAATTTTTAAGAAGGTATGGAATTAAAGAAAAATAGTCGATACTTGTTAAGATAGATACAAAATAACAATCAAAAGATTATGAAATCAAACGGTTGGTTTCATGATATTAGTCAAGTCGAGCTGCCCGACTCGAACGCTCTGGAGTACAATTAAAACAATTGTGAAGTGTCAAAACACTATTCGAGTGTCATGGAAAATTATGAGAAGCACATGTGACGTTTAATAAATTATAGAGGTGGGAATAGGGTCCCATATCACACGTCTTTTTTCCAACCGTGTGAGCTCGTTTCTTACTAAATTTTAATTATTATTATTTAATTTTATACTTATATTATTTTGAATCGTATAATAAAATATAAATTATCATGGTGAATCTCTATTTTCTTAAATAACTGGAATATAAATTTTTTCGAGAATTTTTTGTTTATATATTATTAAATATTATTTTTTTCAAATATTTTATTTCCTATACCTAATTCTATATCTTTGGTAATGATTCATGCATCCATTAATTCAGATTCATGTAACAGTAGCGAGCATTATAAAAAAATTCAACATAATGGAGCCAAGTAATAGCACTTTTAATATTAAATTATGTTAATATTAGGTCAGTTCGACCCTTCATAGACATAAAAATAATAATAATAATAATAATAATAATTTAGGTCGGGTGATATATAAATATTATTCATAAATTGTACCTCATGATTTTAAAATGCGTCTTGGTAAGGAGAAGTTTCTACCCTTTTGTAATAAATGTTTCATTTTTACACCCATCTTCATTGGTACATGGTTCAGTGTCTGACTTTGACACAATTTATAACAGCCCAAGTCCACTGCTAGCAGATATTGTTTATTTTGGTCCGTTACGTATAGCTGTCAACTTCACAATTTTAAAACGTATCTACTAAAAAGAGGATTACACACTTTTTTAAGCAATGTTTTATTCCACTCTCAAACTGATGTGAGATCTCACATTTTCATACACCATAACCGTGTCTCCAAAATGACACGATTATGTTAGATTTTGTACCTTAAAAACGTGAAATAAATAACGGGTATTAATTAGATTATGTCATAATTCTACGCGTTAGGTATATATTCAAATATGTTTGCAAAAATGGCCCTGTTTTTTTTTTTTTTTTTGGTGAATTTAGAAAAAGGGAAAGATGGCATATAGTTGAAAAGAGAAATGAAATGGAGAAGAGTTAAAGGAAGTGGCACTCTGTCACAACAACTCACATCAAGATCCATTACCAAAACCACTGTTCACTGTTTGGCCACTCAGTATTTCTTGGCTGTGTCTTTGTCTTTACCGTTTGGCTTTGGAGTACTTAATCCTGATGAGCTGATGAGTTCGAGGTTGGAAGGCAGGCAGGCAGGCAGGCAGGCAGCCAGCCAGCCAGCCAGACAGCCACCATGGCCAGCAGTGACTTCTAGCTAGCCCTTTTGTCATCTTTCTATGGCAGCCCTCATTTAATGCCTTCCCTGTTTCATTGGTCAGGTGGGGAGAGGAACAAACCAGCAGTTCTCTTTGTTCTTCACCAACAAAGAAAGAATTAGAGTCATTAACAAACAGCAATTATATAAGCTTAAGCAGGGACGCATCAGTTCACATACAATGAATTCAATCATGTTCTAACATTTTTAAGCCTTATTGATTCTACGACATAACACGTGTTCTTCCTCGTTTTCTTTTCATCAAAAGAAAAAAATGTAAATGTACTTTTGTAGAACGGTTACTTAAGTTTTGATACTAAGTCGTATAAAGTGCTGATTAATAAGTACTTTCGAGCCGAAAATATAACTCAAGTAGTGTTGAAGTTACTAACTATCATTAGAAGGGTTCGATTTTCGACTCACCGAATGATTGAAACATTATCGTTCATGATCTTTCATTCCCATCAGCTCCTTTTAGAGACTCGAGAGTGCTTGTTCGACAAATGGGGCAAGCAGGAGTCAGCAAAAGCCACTCATCCACGCACTGAGCGTGGAAGCTGTGCTTGCAAATAGGCAACAGCCTGCACTTCTCGCCCATCTGGAATTTCCCCAAGCAAACTGCACAATCAACAGGGCTGCCCATTGGTTCCTCCATAGCCATATATTGAAAGCAAGGAAGCTTCTCCAAGTCATCTCTGCGCATGCAGCCTGTTGCTTCCCCGTTATTGTTGTTGCTTCTTCCCACAGTCGTCGTTTCATTTTCAAATCCTCCCCTCAATGCTCTCCCAACTATCCACACGTTAACCAACACCAAAATGGCAATTCCCAGAAGTATCAGTATCAGGGATACGATCATCTCCATTGTTGTTTAGCTTCTTCCATTGATGAAAGTACATAGCAATAAAGAAACTCAAAGGGGGGAGTTGGTGTTTGTTTTGGGAATAATTATCAGCATGTTAGGAGATGGGTTGGTTAGTTTAAGGTCAAAAAAGAAAAAGTTTTGATTTTTTTTCATAGATTGAGCTGGTTGAGTAGGATTGTGGTTGGAGTGATGTATAATTGTGGGGTTAGATGATCTCATAATGGAGTGGTTGGAGACTAAGTAACTAGAATCCAAATGAATAGAACCAAATGGTTTTGAGCATAACTCCGACACGGGTCTGAGTTTGGCCTAATGGTCGTGGTTGGCAATGAATAACCATAGCTCGAACTGATCTTATGGTTACTAGAGTCATGGAGAAGAGAACGAAATATTTCTTATAAAGGTGTGAAAACTTCTCCCTAAAAGATGTGTTTTAAAAACTATGAGGCTGACAACAATATATAACGGGTCAAAACGAGTCAAAACAGACAGTATTTGCTAGTGATAATCTTAGAATGCGTATCAGAGCCATGTTGGGCCTTTAAAGGGGTGGATTATGCCCAGACATTAGGCAATGTACCAGTGAGGATGTTGGGCCCTCAAAGAGGTAGATTATGAGATTCTATCGAAAGAGAAACGAAACATTTCTTATAAGAGTGTAAAACTCTCCCTAGTAAATACGTTTGGGGTAGATTATGAGATCCTATAGAGAAAGAAACGAAACATTCCTTATAAGGGTATAACACTCTCCCTAGTAAACACATTTCAAAAACCATGACTGACAGTGATACGTAATAAGTTAAAGCGGACAATATTTGCTAACGGTAATTCAGCTGTTACACTACCTTCCATGACCTTAACCCAAATTTTGTTTCAAAATTAGAATGATTCTCACAGCTTTGCCAGTCCTAAAGGTGCCCAACTTTCCAAGGCAATTCATATAAACACAGAAGCAGAACCATGTAACGGTACAAGGTCTAAATTTTATCCATACACTAAGTAATGTTCGCATTAGATTTATTCATCAGTATCATACAGTAAACATTATATTGTAGTTCCATCCTACTAAATATCAAAATGATTCGAACGTGCATTTACAACGACCAGTCCCACCAGGTCAATGGCTCTGCCTCGTGAGTCTGCTGATCGGCTGCTGTATAAACATCCGAGAAGTAGCCCTGACCGTCGTCACTCACATCCTCCTCCTCCGAGTTCACTCCAAAAACTGGCAACACACAGCCATCATAGTCATTGCTCAGGAGGTATGAATCCCCACTGTCTAAGAGTTGAGGACCATCCTCATCCAGCACAGCGCTACCATTGCTCCTGCAACTATGATGGTCATCAATCTTCATATTGTGTTGCACAACAGAAACAAGGAGTTCATCTTCCAGAATTGGCTCGGATTTCTTAGCTTGAAACGATGATTCAACCACTTCTTTAGCTTGAAGTTTCTCAGTTAAAGAAGCTACCTGAGTTCAGTAATTGAGAATGCATAAGACCCCTGGCTCAGTAACAATACCAAGTCCCCCTTTAACTAATTTCACCATTCCTTTTCCTATGAAAGATTACCATCATATCTGGGAAAAGAATCCATATCTTCTCTTGACCCCCAGCAATTTGGGTTCAGAACCTATGCTAGACTAACTCGATGAGCCCAAAAAGTCCAATTGGGTACTAGGACCACGAGTTTTAAAAGACATCATTAGACCAAATGTGATGATGAAACTTGTAATATTAACTAGAAGCTACCAGTCGTCTTAAGAAACTAAGATGAACAGTCTATGGACCACCATCCTAAAGGATTACAAAGAATCTACTCAAATTTGTGTTCAAAAGACATGTCACATCAAACACAGCCAAGCAAGCAAATTTCAGAAAATGTTCAGCTTTCAGCATGTATAAGAATTATCATACCATATCAAAGGTTTATGAAAAAGTTACTAATAGATTTGAAGCATAGGGTGAATCTCTACTGTAAAACTGAAGTGCAGAAGTGTCAAACCATATAGCTTTCAGGGGGCATAAATACCTCGGCTTTGAGCCTTTCATTCTCCTTGGCCATGAAGTCGTAGCTAGAACAAAAGGAATCATATGAAGATTTGAGAAGGTCATAGTCCCTTTCAAGCTGCTTTGTCTTCCATCGAGCTCGGCGGTTTTGAAACCAGATAGCCACTTGCCTTGGCTGCAGACCCAGCTTCTTTGCTAGCTCAGTCTTGCGCTCTGGCTCCAGTTTGTTTTCTGCCTCAAAGCTAATCTCCAGAAGATGCACCTAATCATGGGCCATGGTCAGTCTCATTTGTTACTAAGAAATGAGAACAATGGAGGATTAAAAATAAGTACAATAAAAGAAACAGAAAACAGACCAGAAGAAAACCATAATCTCAAGATGAACTTGATGGATTGTACCCAATTATGGGTCTGTTTGAAATGATTTTTTAAGCGCTTAAAAACAGTCTCTTGCAATTTTTTTTCATAAAAGACCAAGTTTCATTAAGAAAAACGAAAGAATACATGGACATACAAAAAAAAAAACAATCCCACAAAAGGGAGCCCCCTAAAGCATGGGCCTCCAATCAAGCAAAATAACATCAAGCGAGTAATTACAAAAGAAACTCGTCACCGGACGTCCAAAGAGAGACATTAAATCTCACAAGAGACCTAACATCGAAAGAGTCTTTCTCAATCCCTCTACAAACTCTAGGCATAAAAGCTCTATGTTAGCCACATAAACGAAGAACACAATTTTTTTGCACTTAAAAAGTTTGTCAGCACTTATAAAATAATTCTAAATTGACCAAATATTAACCACATAAACGATACCCCATGGGAATTTTCCTCAATTTATTTATCTAGAGAGATTGAAGTTTCAGAATCCGAGAATAATGCTTAATTTTTTTTCACCAATGAACTAAACAAGGAGATCAGCATTGATTCAAAGGTAGTCGCATTAAAGCAACAGCACATTGAATCAAAGGAATATGCCATAAGTATAAGCATCCAGTTCAGACTTCAGATTCCACAATTCCATCCCCACCCATCAAGTAAAAAAGAAACAAAAAATGGAATAATTGCATGATATTTTCGGAATAGAGTTGCTTAAATACCTGCTCTTGAGTTAGCCGGCGCTTCTTCTCAGGCGGCTGGTCATCGTAGTAGTCATCATCGAACAGGTCATCCGGAGAGCTGAAAAAGGGTCGCTTCGAATTTTCCTCCATCCCCTTCGTGAAACATGATCCTAACATTTGCAGAATTACAGTTTAAAGGAATTGTATATAGTTAAAGACCCCTAAAATTAAAAACTCATAACGTCCTCCGCTATTCAGTGAATTAAAATGAAATAACCTCGAAGAATGGAATCGCCACTCCCGAAAAACAGCATGTTGGCGTGACCTGGAGATCGGTTGAAGATCAATCCGTCCGACAACATCAATTATTCTCTTCAATTAAATGGGAAACGTGAGCAAGGGGTCACCGGCAATTTACGGCGGCGGATTGGCACAGAGACACGAAATCGAGGGAGATCTTTTATTAAAACGAGAAACGAATGAGATGGGATTTGGTATTTTCAGCGATAGGGCTGAAAATTAGAAAATCATGAGCTTGTGGCGGAAGAAACTGGTGCTCCACAGTAACCTAGCCGGTGTTCCTAATGGAGAAATACAAAACCCCATCACACCACCAGCTCTGTTATTACCCAGCGCTTCGTCAGTCTCGAAAACCTCTGAGAAAAAACACAAAAACAAACCTGAGAAAAAACACAAAAACAAAATGAACGCTAAATAGAAACAGAGAATTAGGAAGAAAAAAGGAAGAAGAAAGAATACAAGCTTGATCGGAAACAGAAACTCCGGCGACCGGAAAATAAGAGTCCCCGGCGGACGGGTTCAACGCTGCACTATGCAACCCTGGTTGTTATCAGCGGGTAAAATTGATAGTTGGGCGAGGAAAGCATTTTATAGTCTCGAAAATATGAAAAGACTATACTACCCTTGCTATTTAGCGCCATCCACTTGTGTTCTTAGAGCTTTTCCGTATCCGGGAATATTGTATAAATAAATAAACACGACTTTTTTGTGGTGGGGCCCGGTACTGCTCAGATTAGATCTGAACCGTCCGATCAGAATTAGTCTTTTGCCCATCCAAATTGTGCCGCAGGAATTTAAAATGGTCTAATATATATATATATATTATATATATGGATAAACGCATAAGTTTATTTATTTATTTATTATTTATCTAAAATTAATTATGATATCAATTTAATTCTTATCTGGTCCATTAATTAAATACTAATATAAACCTAAAGAGACCATTCATTTTATTAAAAAAAACGTTAAAAAAGGAGGCGATCGAGGAGGAATTGAGCTCGATATTCAATCTGCTCTTTCGAAAGCTATTTAACTCCTAAACCCTATTGATGAAATCGTATTATTGTTTAGTCGATTACAATAAAAATCTTACGCTCGATTTCTGCCACGCTTGCTTTCTTTATACCAAATAAATTCCTCTATTTGGCTACTCAACTTGTCGGTGTCAACCGATAAACTTTTTTTGTATTTCTTTTATAAAAATAACATAATTTAAATTATTATAAAATTATATTTAATGTAACGCTAAAATTAATTTATCACTCAAATTTTATTAATTACCATTATTAATATGGTAAAATTATGATTAAAGTGAAAATATGGTGTAAATTTTAGAAAATTAAATTAATATTTTTAGTCTTTATTTTTAATGGATGAAATTAAACAAAAAAAAATTGAAGTCATTTAATTGTCTCCCACCATTAAAAAAATAATATTCCAGAGTCACTTTCGTTGTGGAGATTTAAAGGGAAGAGTAGAAGCTTTAAAGGCATCTCTTTTATAACTGACCATTGGATATTATACAATTCTTAGCCTTTACGCATATATATATATATATATATATATATATATATATATATGTATATATGTATATAATTTTTTTTATATATATTAAAATAATTATATAAAAAACAGAATAATACTCTCCCTTCCTCCATCCCCATGCTCGTTACTTTCTCTAAATGTTCCATTGTGAAAAAACTTTGATATAAATATAAATACAATGGGTCGTTTAACAAGTTTAGGCTATTCGTATGATCTTAATTCAGTTAGAAAGCTATCTCGACTTTATTTTTCAACCATACGTTTTAACGAATATCAAAAACATAAAACTTGTGTATAATATTCTATATGAGCGAACAAATTCAAGTTCGTTGGGTAGCTCAATCACTAAACTTCACAGTGTTTAAATCATAGTTCAAATCATGTTGCGTGAATGTCAAGTGTTATCGAAGTCTACCCGAACTAAGAAAAGTTCTGAGACATAGCTCGGAAAAATACCAATAAAAACATAAAACACTGCAAACTAGTGCGATGTTATGTAGGTCTTTCATATGGTCGATCAAAGCTTTTTCAAACATCACACGACTATCTATATTTATCATAAAGAATTTTTTTTTTCTAGTCAAACCATGCTGGAAAAGGAACATACATATGATAAATTAATTCAAGAATCAATTCCCTTATCATACATTGCTATATCCAAGTCATATCATTCGATTTTTGTTCTTGTCCTATGCGAAACATGTTTCATGGTGACACCTAAGATTGGAATCACGGTTTAGAATCCACTTGGCACTTGATGACCTTGATATTCCATTGTGACACGGTTCTTTCCGCATGTGTTGTCTTCACTCATAATATAAAAAATCTTATAATTGAGCCACCGATCACTTTAAGAAAAACGAGCGTTGGAATTAAGTCGATGGAAGTGGGCCCACATTAAAGTGCATAGTTGAGTCACCATCCAACTATATTGAGCTCATTTAAAACTTATTTGGCCCTTAAGAGGAGGCAAAAGTTATTACAAACCTTGTAAAGTAGGTTGGGTTTGGACATCTCAAAAACTACTTTAATTATTTTATTTATTTATTTTACTATTGAATGAAAAAAAAAAAAAAAAACTTATGAATAAAATATTTTGTTTTTAAAAGCATTTTATCACGCTAAAAATAAATTGAATATATTGTTATCTTTTAAAATGTTTGATTTTATTAATTTTAAAATTAGATTTATTATTTAATATTTGATACATAGGACTCATCTTTAAAATAAAATACATATTTTTGTCCCACTAGTAAAATAAAATATAAAAATGGGTAAAAGTATAATATATATTATATTATATATTTGTTAAATATTTAATTTGGTAGTGACAAAGAGCATATATTGATTTGGATGCTTGTTCCTTGGATTCCAGGAAATAATTTAATATTATAATAAATAAAATCTGATTTTAATAAACCCCTTCGAGATTTGGAGGACAAATTTTCAAAAATGCTCTCCATAATATAAATCAATCAATAAATAAAGTAAAAATTATATAATGAACTAAATTTTAAATCAATAGATATTAATTTGTAAAAACTAAATTAATAAAAAATACGATTACTTTCCATTTTGTTTAAAAAATATTTATAAAACTTCCAAAGTTTAAATAATACTTTTGAATTAAAAAAAATAAAAATTCAAAAGTACCCCTACTCTTATTTATGAAAAAATTAATATTGTATTTAAAAAATTTATAAATGTTTAAAAAATAACATAAATTTTTATTTTTGTTTGTATATTGACAATAATTTATTAATGTTAATTTTAAAATTTTATTTGTATTTTTTTAAAACATAATTCTACTCTCGACTCTTTTCAAATAAAATACTAAGAGTATTATTAATTAAAAGTTCAGAATTAAGGCCCAATTGTGTTTGGGCCCATCATCAATTGCCTATCCATCATGAATATATATATATATATATATATTATTTTTATTTCCCATTTTTTAAATCCTTGAAAAATAGAAACATCCATCAGAGTGGTCCAGCTTCATTGGAGGACCAATACTCGGCTGCCACTTGTCCATCCGGTGGACCCACACCTCCCAATATATGTTGAAAAGATGTCAGTTTTCTATTGGTTGTATATTTTAAATTATTATATATATGGAAAGTATTTGGGAGTGTGAGACATTGGGAATGAAAATTTGATGCTTGCGAATTGGGTGAAATTAATGGCACCGTATAAAAATATATTATGTAAAATGTGTGAAATATGATTTAGATGAATTATCCCTTTAATCTCAAATTAGTGTGACAAAATTGAAATTTCATTATAAAATTTTAATTTTAAGACGAGTAAAAAAGTAGACGTCTTATATATAATTTTTAAAATGTTAAATTAATAAAAAATAAAAATACTTTTCCACCTCCAAAATTTAAAATTTTTAATAGATAGAAATTTAAAAATATTTCAAAAATACTCTTGCACTTTTAAAATTTTTATTAATATCTTCGGGAACTAAAATTAATATTTTTGAATTGGAGGGTGGTTGTTTTTGCAATTTTGTGTAATGTTTATGTAAATATTTTAAAATTTTGGGGCAATATGTAAATACATTGTTTTTGAGTGGAAAGATTGGAAGGCAATAAGAACAAAACCAAGCATCTAAGCTCCAAGTAGAAAACTACAGAGATTGGTTTAAGCTGTGGGTCTAGAAATATTCTTTCAATTTTCAGAGTCTGGAAGTACAGCCTCCATGGCTGCATCGAACTCTGAAGCGGAAGTGAAAAAGGAAGAACTGGCAGAAACCATGGAGCAGCAACAGCTCCACCGCCATAACCAATCAGAAGTAAACGAAAACGAAAACGAAAACGAAAACGATGACGAATCCCATCCCCCTCTCTCTGCTCAATCTTCACCTCCCCATTCCCTCTCCGACAGCAAAGATCCCTCGCCGCCACTCCACTCTCCGTCCAACGCCTCGGACTTTTCTGATCATACCTGTCAAACTCATGGCAACTCCTCCATTGACGACGCTCTCTCTATTACGCGGCTCGAGGACTTGTCACCGTCGTCTTATCCTCCGTCTCCGAGACCTGTGGCGGCGAACCGAGCACAGCCGTCGGAGCCGATTGTGGTGACCAAGGTGGACGCTGAAATACAGGGAGTGCGGAAAGTGGAAGAGGGAAGTGCTAGCGATGTTGAGCCTAGTGATGGCGATGGCGGTCCGGTTGGGCGAGGACGGAAGCTGATGGCGAATTTGTCGATGAAGAAAATAAAGAGGGAGGAATTGAGGAAGAAGATCTTGCTAGGGTTTAGAATCGTTGGATTCGTCTTCTGTTTGGCATCGTTTTCGGTTATGGCTTCTGACAAGAATCAGGGCTGGGCTTTGGATTCGTTCTATCGCTACAAGGAATTCAGGTTCGTTGAATGAAATCACTTCTTCCTATTAAAATTTCGTATGCAGCTGCCTTTAATTTCAATTGAATTGGACATCGTTGGATTCTTTCTATTGCTCAAGTCACAGTCCCTCTGTTACTGTTAGTATTCAATCAAACTCCTTATGGAATCGATTCAATTGGGAATTTCATCAAATTTGCAGGTACTGTATGGCAGTGAATGTTATTGGGTTTGTTTACTCTGCACTTCAATCTTTTGATCTTGTATACTTTCTCTCCACTGGGAAGCAGATGATCCGTAATTACTTCAAGCAATACTTCGATTTCTTCATTGATCAGGCAAGTTTCTGGTTGGGAATTGAGTTGCTAAGCTTCAATCTATTAATTATTGGTTCTATGATAATATCAATACCCAACCTAATCCCATCACACTGAGCACATATTGGACGGCGAAGATTAGGCCAATACTTTAGTCCAGATCACATTATTGTTTACCGATTATGTTCTTATCTGTCCCACAGAAGATAAAAAGGTGATGCAGAATGCTCAATAGTCAATAGATAGATGGTTCTCTTACTGCTATTTTTGTCGTTCATAATGAAGCCTTTTCTTACCTTTCCTTACTGAAGAATCTGCAAGCCTTTTTCTCATGGAGAGTTTGCTAATCCTACTACCTTAAATCCTCTTAAATCGCATATTAATAACTTAGAACTATATGATTGGTCTGGTTTAGTTACTTTCCTTTTTATTTGCTTTAGCTTTTTGGCCATCCTTTTTGTTACCTTTTCTTCGGTATTGCCACCTTTCCCTTGCATCTTTCCTCTATTTTTCCTTTTTATTCTTAAAGTTTGTTAGGAAACTGGCTTTATTTTGCAGCAAAGAATCTAAAAAATTAACTTCTGGGCATAGCTAACATTACCACAAACCTTATATTCTAAAATTCTGAAAAAAAAAAGAAAAAAGGAAACCTTTTACCATATTCTCTAAATTTGGCTGGCAGAGAGGTGTAAAATCCCATTTGCAACGTGGGAAGTTCGATTCTCTTCATTCTAGAAGGTCATTTGGATAGAAACCTTGAACTTTATGGATAGAACTGAGTCACTATATGGAAATGAATGTTGTTGGGTCGTGTTTGTGCTTCTTAGCTTATAGGCGAACTCTAAACTTTATGGATAGAATTGAGCCATGAATTTGCAGACACTGTATGGCAGTGAATGTTAGGTCGTAGGCAAACCTTGAACTTTATGGATAAGACTGAGTCACCGTATGGAAGTGAATGTTATTGGGCCGTGTCTGTGCTTCTTGGCTCATAGGCAAACCTGGAACTTTATAGATAGAATTGAGCAAAATTTGCAGGCACGGTGGCCGTGAATATTAGATCATAGGCAAACTCTGAACTCTATGGATAGAACTGAGTCACCGTATGGAAGTGAATGTTATTGGACTGTATCTGTGCTCCTTAGCTCATATTCAAACCCTGAACTTTATGGATAGAACTGAGCCATGATGCAGACGCAGTTGAATCTATTACTACATTTCATTATTGTTTGAGCTTCGCCATCTTTGCTGATAAGCTTAAAGAAATTGATGATAGTCTTCTTCTGTTGCAGATAGTAGCATATCTTCTTCTATCAGCTTCTTCTTCGGCAGCCACCAGAGTTGATGATTGGCAATCCAATTGGGGAATGGACAAGTTCCCAGATATGGCTATCACGTCTGTGGGATTGTCCATTGTTGCATTTGTAGCTTTTGCCTTGAGTTGTATAATCTCTGGTTATACCCTCTGTAAATCTGCTTAGGTATCATTTCTCAAACTATTCATGATCATAGCAACAAACCAATGCTGTTGAGCATATACAAGAAATTTATTCCAACAATGTGCAGTAAATTAGATATGCTTTCACTTAGAAAATATTTGGAAGTTTACTTGATTCATGATAAGGAACTTCATTTGAGTAGCTAAAACGAGATTTATTCAAAATCTTTCGAGTAATATTCATGAAAATTAATGTTGGTATGAATGATATCATGAAATTCACATAAAGATAGAAATATAAAGATTATTATTATTATAGTTTAAAGATTTCATGAAAATTAAAATTGAAAATGGAATGAATTAACTTAATATTGAAGTTAACTTAATGTATATAAATGATATTAACACTAAAGCTACGAAATGACTAAATGTATAAATTATATTTCTTGAACAGTGACACGTGTAACTCGATTTGGACCACCTTTACAAAGCTTTTGCCTGATTTGTGCACAGAATTATGGGTAATATAATGTGTGTGAGGGTCCCGAATGGGAAGCTATCCATATCTTCGGGATTTCTGAAAATCAATAATAAAGCCAAGACAAGGATATTCAAACGCTCTCAATTGGGATCTGTTCTTCCTTGTTCATCCATGGCGGCACTTTCTGTTCCTACCCACATGAAGGCTTGGGTGTACCATGAATTCGGCAACACTGCCGATGTTCTTAAACTGGATACCAATTACCCTGTTCCTGAAATCAACGAAAATCAGGTGCTCGTCAAGGTTGTTGCTGCATCTTTGAACCCCATTGATTACAAGAGAATTCATGGCGCTTTGAAAGCTTTGAACTACTTGCCTCCGGTCAGCTCTCTCTCTCTCTTGCATTTAATTTTACTTGGGTACCGTTGTTTTGATCTTAACTTTTCTGGGTCTGTCATTAATTTTGCATCGATGAAATGAAATCATCAGTTCTGGGTTAAGCTCTTTTTCTGTCATTGCTTATCTGTGGATTAGAATAGGCGTTTCTTGAAGCTGATCTTGAAGACTGTGTTTGTGTAATAGCTTATAATCTCATGAGATTTGGGGGAAGTTTGACTTCTAACCCTTTTTGTGTTTCTTTAATTGACTTCTTTTTACAGTCAATTCCTGGCTATGATGTTGCGGGTGTGGTGGTGAAGGTGGGAAGTGAGGTGAAAAAATTCAAGGTAGGAGATGAAGTTTATGGAGATATAAACCATAAAGCACTGGATAAGCCTAAAAACGTTGGCACTTTGGCTGAATACACAGCCACAGAAGACAAAGTTTTGGCTCTAAAACCAAAGAATCTGAGTTTCTTAGAGGCTGCTAGCCTTCCCCTTGCCATGGAAACTGCCTATGAAGGTCTTGAACGAGCTGGGTTATCCGCTGGTAAATCGATTATTGTTTTGGGAGGTGCTGGCGGAGTCGGTGCCCATGTTATACAGGTCAAGATTGGCTCTGCTACATTCATTTTTGGAATTTGGATCAGTTTTTCTTGTTCACACTCATAAAATTTGTCTACTGAGTTTTGTTTCTCTTCATTATTGGCTAATGTGATCTTGGTTTTTTGTGTTTTTCTGTATGAGGCAGCTTGCAAAGAATGTGTTTGGAGCATCAAAAATAGCTGCTACTGCAAGCACATCAAAACAGGACTTATTGAGAAGCTTGGGAGCTGATCAACCTATTGATTACACAAAGGAAAGCTTTGAAGACCTTCCTGAGAAATTCGACGTCGTCTACGACGCAGTCGGTAACGTCCTCGATCTATCAATTTCTTCATATATTCTGCACCTGATTGCCAATAGGAATATGTTCAAAACTGAAGCTTTTGATTCAAAAACTGCAGGCCAGGCTGATAAAGCCATTAAGGCAATGAAAGAAGGCGGGCATCTTGTGAGTATAGCCGCACCCGTTGCAGGTTTCCCAGATGCATTCTTCCTTCTCACATCAGATGCTGTCATGTTGGAGAAACTAAATCCATACCTGGAAAGTGGGAAGGTGAAACCAATCATCGACCCCAAATCTCCGTTCCCATTCTCCGACACTCTCAAGGCGTTCGCATATCTCGAAACCTCCAGAGCTACTGGGAAAATTGTGGTTTATCCCATCCCTTAGAGGCAAGTTTTTTACATAAGTAGCTTTGTGTGTTATGTTCTGGAGAATCCTTGATGTGTTTGTTTGTTTGTTTGTCCACTGCATCTGCTAAGATATAATGTACATTTTTGTGGAATTGCTGCTTTGAAGATGGAAATAAGTATCTTTTGTCATTTGTTCAAAAGAACAGGACACCATAGTTTTAAGCAAGGATGAAAGTGTTGATCTAGTATGCACTATTTTGTTAATGTTGTGTTGAACTGCCTCGTTGCACCCCGCTAACCTCGAACGGGGTGCAACCTCAAACGTTCGACGTTTAAGATGATATCCATCTAACCATCTACATGAGTTTTAAATTAGTGGTAGTGGTACCAATTAGAGTCAAAAGAGTCAGAGAATAGATAGTAAGATTCCAAGAGTAATGAGATCACATCAAGTTTGACTTACTCTTCTTAATTATTGTTTGACTTATTCTCTTCTTATTAATTGATTTGGGATCATTAGAGCCAGATTTTACTGAATTTTCTCAAGTGGATTGTTCTTGGTTTTAGTTTATTTATTTATTTTATAAAAAAAAATTGAAAAGTTAATTTTTCACTGTTTTTTTTTTAAATTAATGGCTAATCTCAATATAAATTTTGAAACATAAAATTTGAATTTAAAAAAGTTTAAAAGCTTAAAAGGTTAATTTTGGAAAGAAACTAGTAGTAATTTATCTTTTAAATGTCCTTAAATTTAAAAATTTTTAAAAATGTCTTTGTAATTAATAATTAGGGATAAAAATAATTTTTATTTGAAATCTTTTTTAAAAAAAGTTTTAAGGAATTAATGAAACTTTTAAAAAACATTTTTTTGAAATAAAGTATAACTAAGTAAAAGTTTTTTTTTTTTTTTTTTTTTTTTTTTA